GTCAAATTTGCGCCTTTTCACCGACCGTCTTCGAGGCATAATCGCTTTCGAGGCATAATATCTGTAATTCGACCTCACAACAATAAAGTGAGATTTTAAATAAATTTCACACCACAAGGCTGATTTAAGTTTCTTTTTCTTGACTATTGTGTACGAAAATTTATGGTTGAAGAAAATTTAATATGTAGTATCGACCCGCCAATTTGACATAAAAATCAGTAGTCTTTGAATGAAAAATTCTTCGAATGCTGCTTTTAGAGTGTCTTCATTTTGGAGTGATTTATTTCTGAAAAAAATTGCTCAGGTGTTTGAAGAAATGATAGTTTGTTGGGGAGAGGTCTAGTGAATTATTTTTCACGTCAGATAATAATGTTCAAACAATTGTATTGTAAATTTTTTTACTATTCAATACACGTGTAACGCAGTAAATTTTTTTCTTTTTACTACTGTGTATAAAATTCGACGATCGGGCAAAATTTAATGTATGGTATCGATCCAGCAATTTTAACTGTTGAAAAAGTGACATGTAAATTTTCTGACATTTATAAAGCTTTGCTGATCATTGTAATTGAGGCATTTTACAGGAAAATGACGATTGAGTTATCCAATTTTTGTCAAACAATTTTATTACATATTCTTAGAATTGATTTCTGTTAATAGATAAATTAGAATGTCAAAGTGACTAAAGCTTTCCGATAATTGTAATCGACGCACTTTTTCAAGAAACTGACGATTGAGTTGTTGAATTTTTCCAAACGGAAGTTTTTTCGCGAAAGTCGACAATTCGAATCTTATCATTTTCTATCACGGAGATTAATAATGCATGAGCCTACGTATCCTTCCTTCAAATACAACACTTTCAAAGCTACCAAATTGTCCGGTCAGCACCACCGACAGCCGACTTACCGTTACACGATTTTCTACCGCTTCATTCTCGAGATTACAATTTATAAGCGCGGAACAAACCCACGTCGACCTATTTGGTCCGCGTAGAAATTTATTACCCGTTTGACCCGCCTGATCGAGACGTCGATGTGGATTGATTCTACTTGACAACTTGTTTGCACTCTCTTCCTCTTTCCCGCTCTCGTACCGTCTTCGCCTCTCCTTCTCTCTCTCTTTCTCGTACATTTTCACATTTACAAACGCTAAGCAAAGTCTTGTACCCGAATCACACGTCAATCGTAATCGATTCACAGTCAGAGAAAGGATATCATACGCGAATAATACTCTGTGGTGTAACAAATTTCACGAGGTTTCAGTAATACGACCTGAAACTCGTAGTAACAGTAGAAACTCAAGTATTCGAAACTGTTATCACTTAAAGCGCCCGGAGTTTTGTAGAAACACGCACTTTTGCAGAATAAAATAAAATAACTCTTGTAAAACGGAAAATTTCTTTTGAAAAATTTTACGTAGTGCTTGTTACAGGCACAGCGACGATTTTTAATGATATAAATATTCAGCCACTTGCTGTCCGAGAGATGTCATATTTTCTTTCTGCATAAACGTGTAAAAACGCATTTGGACGCCAGTCCACATACATATTACGCCTTGAAGCCTACAACTTTGGTAATTTTGAGAATTTAGAAATTTCCTTTTAACTACGTATTCTTTAAACCTCGAAGAAGTGAAAAATCTGAAAAAAGTTTTCGATTTTTTCAAAGACCCAAACCGGAACCTGCCCTTAAAGCGGGCCCGACGCTTGAAGTGATACGAACGAAGTCTATCCGTTAATAGAACTTCTGATATCCACAACTTCCCGTGAAAATTATCATCGAACCAATTTACCAACGATTCTTAAGTTACCGACATTTTTAAGAATTGTATCTGACATGTAAGTTATTTGACATGTAAGAATTTTTAAATTCCATACACAAGAACATCCAAAAAAAAAAAAAATAAAAATAAATTTCAACGTGCAAAAATGAAGACATTGAATAAAGAAGAGAAAGCTACCGTCAACTTCCTTCCGATCATGAAATTAAAAAGAAGTTTCTCCGCGTGAAGGCCAAGCATTATCGAAAAATAAAGGGTGTGGAAGAAATACTGTACTGTGTTTGAATTTTCTTTTTTCGTAAGAATTTTGAGGGTTATCGGTTTAAAATTCACGTCCGCGTTTAAACAGCCACAAACCATAGGTATGTGTGTGTGTAGGTTATGATCGAAGCAACGATGAAGAGTTTTTAAGTTATAAGTTGACGATCGATTTGGCTTGTAATAACACAGCTTTGTTCGAACCCCGCGGCCTTATATTAAGCATTCCAGAGCAACGATGCAATAATGCTGGACTATCGGTGCATAGAAACGAAAACAGGACGAGGTACGGCGAATTTAAAATATTTCGCGTTGGATATTGCTCCGATATCACGGTTATGCACCCATACAGGCATGATCGACCCGGGGATAACGTAATTTCAGAAGAACCATCAGTTTCGGTATTCCTTCCCGTCCACTCGTTAAACCCTCTTTTGACCTCTTCCTGCAGGAATAGTGTACAGTAATCTTAAGAGGATTATTGCATTCCTTTTATCAACGGAATAAAATTAATCGGGGGATATTTTATGAAAATTAAAATAATCTTGTCCCTTTGAACTGTCTTCGAATGAGAGACGTTGTTTTGTTGGCGTTTGTAAGAAGTACAGTCTTGGGCATGAGTGCTGGGAGATTTGCCGAATGTGAAGTATACTGAAATCTTAAATTTTGGTGAAATTTAAGAAAAATTTGTGAAATCTGCTGAATTTGATTGAAATCTACTATTTATCTATCGAAATCTTTTATTGAATTCCACTCAAATCTGTTGAAATCTATTAAAATAAAAATTTAAAAATTAAGGTGGAAGTACGCAAGGAACCAGAATTGAGGCCTAAATTAAGATGAAAGTGTGTCAAAAAGCGTGAACAGCACAGTAAGAGAAAATTTTCAAAGCGTTTATAGTCGGCAAGGGCACAGCGCGAGAAAATATTCGGAACGCCTATAGCCTTCAAGGGTACAGCGCGGAAAAATATTCGAAACACCTATAGACACCAAGGGCACGGTGCGAAAAAATATTCAAAACGACTATAGGCGCCAAGAGCACAGCGCGAAAAAATATTCAAACCGTCTATAGCCTGCAAGGGCACGGCGCGAAAAAATATTCAAAACGACTATAGGCGCCAAAGACAACGGAAGAAAATATTCAAACCGCCTATAGCCTCCAAGAGCACAGCGCGAAAAAATATTCAAACCGCCTATAGGCGTCAAAGACAGTGAAAGAAAATATTCGAAACGCCTATAACCTCCAAGGGCGCAGCGCGAAAAAATATTCAAACCGCCTATAGCCTCCAAGAGCACAGCGCGAAAATATATTCAAACCGCCTATAGCCTCCAAGAGCACAGCGCGAAAATATATTCAAACCGCCTATAGCCTCCAAGAGCACAGCGCGAAAATATATTCAAACCGCCTATAGTCTCCAATGGCACAGCGCGAAAAATATTCGAAACGCCTATAGCCTCCAAGGACGCAGCGTAAAAAATTTTTCAAAGTGCCTATAAGCGCTAATAGCAGCGAAGGGGTTAAATTATTCATACTTTACCAAATGCCTAACACTTTCAGCCAAGATTTACCCAGAAAATTTTCAAACCTCTTATCACTAATGAAAAGGTTAAAGGGTGAAAAAAAACACGCGAAGCTAAAAATCTATCAAAATACCCTTTACAAATATGACAAATTGATAAGTAGAACGTTCCAGCTGAAAAGGAGCAGTAATACGTCGATAAGAAATTTCCCAAACATAATTACAGATTCCTTACATGGTATCCCTTTCAAACCTCCGTACAATTTCATCGGATGGAACATTAATTAACCTCCGATTCGAAATTCACCTGTGCCGTAAATTATAAACGTTCGACGTCCACTTTCTCGTCGCTGCACCACCGGTTTAATTGATTTCGAATCGGTGAAATGCATAATTCTCGTTTACAAATGTGTTGTTGTTCCGTTTGTTGCAGACATAAAACCATCGGACAGGAGCGAGAAAGCGATGCTGAGTGGGAACGCGCAACCTTCGGACGTGTTCTGTTCGGTTCCAGGACGATTATCGTTACTAAGCAGCACCAGCAAGTACAAAGTTACGGTAGCCGAGGTACAAAGACGACTATCGCCACCGGAATGCTTAAACGCGAGCCTCCTCGGCGGAGTCTTACGGAGGTAAGATATTGCCTTTGGAACTCGCCACTGTCTCCCGTTGCACGGGCGTGCCTCGTTTGCATAATACAATTTTATAAGGGGATTAACCCCCTAGTCAGACAGTGACACGACCTTGTTTGACGATGCTACGCTCGGAGCGACGAGCTATCGTAAAATCCACCGGATTCTACGTTCAAATGGTATATACGCTGTGTCAACTATGACATCGCCTCTCGCTTTTAGGGGCTGTTTCAACGTTTTACCTTTGTTTTACTTATTGCGCGAGATTTAATACGGCGTGGTTAAATTTAATACCGGGAGCTTTGGAAAATGTTTGAATACGGTGAGAGTAGATGTTATTCAGTTTTCGACACTGGCGATGAAAGTTGGAAGTGAAATTTGTGAAAATTAATTTTAAGAGAGGAGATACGATTTTTTTGGCAAGAATGTTTTTCCTAATTTCGCATTTCGGTTTAGGGACTGTTTGAATATCTTACCTTTGTTGTACTTGTTGTGTGAGATTTAATACAGTGAGGTTTTTAATACCTAGAACTTTGGAGAAGTGAAGTACGAAAATGTTTAAATACGGTGAGAGTAGAATATATTATTCATTTTTTAACACTAGTGATGAAAGTTGGAAATGAAATTTGTCAACAGAAATCCTTCAGTGAAAAATTAATTCTAAGAGAGGAGATATGACTTTTTCGCGGGAATATTTTTGAGGTGTTACTTCTTATCAGGAATATTTTTCCTAATTTCACATTTCGGTTTTAGGGACTCTTTGAATATTTTACCTTTGTTGTATACTTATTGTCTGAGATTTACTGCAGCGAGGTTACATTTAATAGTGAGAGATTGGAAAAGTGAAGGACGAAATGTTTAAACGCGGTGATAGCAGAAGGTATTATTCATTTTTTAATACTAGCGATGAAAGTTGGGAAAGGAACTGGTTAATAGAAATCCTGCAGTGGTCTGCTAAGTATTAATTCTAAGAAAACACTGTCGATTGAGATAATACTCTTTGTCAGGATTATTTTTGCTAACTTCGCGTTTCGTTTTAGAAGATATTATTCAATTTTGCGCACTGGTGATGAAAATTGAAAATGAAATTAAAATCAGTACAAATTCTTCCGTGGTCTGCTAAAAATTAATTAAAAAAAAAAGAGATACGCCTTTTCGTTAGAAATGCTTTAAACACAGCGATAGTAGAAGATATTGTTCATTTTTTTAAACTAGTGATGAAAATTGAAAATGACACTGATCAACAGAAATTCTTTAATTATCTGATAAAACGTTAATTTCGAGAAAGGAGGTTATGACTCTCTGTCAGGAATATTTTTGAGATATTTCTTCTTATCAGGAATACTTTTCCTAATTTCACTTTCCGGTTTAGAGGCTGTTTAAATTCATTTCGAAATCCTAGCGATGAAAGTTGAAAATGAAACTAGTCAATAATTATTAAAAATTAATTGCAAGAAAACAGTGACAATGACGAGATATTACTTTTCGTCACTCACATTTTTCCTAACCTTCCTTTTCAAGGGGTATTTAAAAATGTCACCTTTATCACACCACACTTGCCTCTCTCAGACTAAATTCAACATCGAAACGCGGAACAACGAAGCAAAAAATATTAAAACACATCGACACTAGAAAGTACATCGCTCGCTCCCCCTGAAAGAATACCAGCGATGAAAGTTGAAAATGAAACCGATCAATGGAAATCCCTCACTGATCTGGCAAACGAAAAAAAAGAAAAAAAAACAAAGAAAATCAATTCCAAGAAAAACACCGACGGTGAGATATTGCTCCTTGTCAGGAATATTTTTCCTTATAAATCCGTACAATCTACTTCCCCCTTCGCGAGCAACTGGCTACCTTTCCAAAAGACCAAAACAACCATCAAGAAACACTCCTCGAACGTACTCTTCCTTTCAAGATCGATCTATCTCGTAGCTCACGAAGCAACGTTTGCCCTCGACCGGGATTGAGTAAGTATTTTAACGGTATCGCTTGATGGTGACCGATACTTCATCCAAAAAGCGACGCGTAAGAACGATACGAAAGCCGAGATACCGTGTTGCTGTAAATAACGCGTACACTTCCGGACATTTGTCCGTTCACGGTAGAAACATCCGTGCACAACCGCTGTAAACTACAGCGGAACAGAACACTGGACCTAGGCTTGAAAGAAAGTGTAGAACCGTAGAATACAGGAGATACCGATACCGTTTAACCGTTACGCGACGTTTATCTAAGCTGGTTAATTAATAAACGTGCGTTCGCTTCATTCGGCCACCTCATACTCGAGCACGGACAGCCGGCTGATTTATGGGTTTCTCTCTTGGAAGCGGGAAGAGCCGTTCTTTATCTGATTCACCATTTTACTCGGCCAGAACAGTATCCGTTGCGCAATGCTTTATCACCAAAGGCGTGGATAAATCACCGTATCTGTGAAACGTACAGAGTACTGGTACCTACCTGCGTGGAAATCGCGGTGTACGATGGGTTTAGAATTTCTCCACTCTGCGAATTCAGGATTACGCGAATGATTCGGATGTAGGTATAGTTGGTGTTAATAGGTAATAACGGGGAGGTGTTTGGATTGTTTGTCGTTAGTGGTGCTCGAGATGTTAACAGCGCATGGGAGAAACAGTGGTGCGAGTCAACGCTTCCGCGTTCGGGGAAACGTGGAGCTTTGATTTCGTGAATCTTGTTTGGTCGCGTCACAGCGTCGACGTTAGAAATTGCGACGGTTTGATGACGCGGACTTCGAACTGTTAATTTTGCAATCTTCAGTGAAGTCTTTCGACCGATGCGATGGATACGTAGTGGACTGTATTGAATTTTGAGTAATCACACAATGTTGAACAACGATATACTTGTATTTAAAATAGTTAACCAGATATGTTACAATAATAGTGTCTGTATCGAATGTGACTGTTGGTGCTTGTAATAATAAAAATCGAAGTGTCTGTGCGTGCTATTTTATCAACTTGCTGTGTGCTTCTATTCGCTGTTTAAATGTGTAGTGGAGGTGGTTGAAGAGTGTTGATTGGATTTTTGTGAGTATTCCGGGGGTGACTGTCGTGTCGAGAGGGTGGGGGTATTGTTGTTAAATATTTGTTGTATTGTAGGGTCGAGTCCTGGTTCATCTGGTCGGTCGGCAGGCTGCCGCTTCTGGTGGCCAGATGAGAGGGTTTCCTAAATAATTGTAAATTTGCGAGCCGTGTCGTCTAGACCTTCGCCTTGAACAGATTTAAGTTTTTACAACCGAACAAATCTTTGTGGGGAGAATAGTATAGCTTGTGGAATACGTGAAATGTTATATTTTCAGTGTGCGTTGAAGTCAGTGTTTTCAGATGTATAAAAGTTTGTCACCGCATATCAATTTTTTTAGGGAATTTTTAAGTAATCTTGCGGAGATCGGATTATTCTAGATTGTACCATTTTTGAAGAGAGATAAAAACGTGATAAGTATTATTAGCTAGAGACAATAGTAAAATGAATATGTAAGTTTGATTTTTCACTTTTCCTTTTGGTAACTCTTTCGAAAATTCTTTGGAGCTGACTGAATGTTTGGAGTCTAGTTTCGATTGTAACTACTTGCCAGAATTTTTCAGCTATATAATTCTTACTCAAACTGATGGAATATTTTTTGAATAATAGATCACACTATCTGGTGCTTGTGCTGAGCTTTACAATTGCGCTTTGCTTCATTTTCCTAGATTCGGATGTTAAAAATTCATCCAAAAGTTTCTCAAATTTCTAACTTTTTTCTCAGAATTCTTGCGTATCTTGTAATACACAATAGTCCCAAATAAATAACCTTCCTACAGTCCGTTCAACGAGACGAGTCGCTAAGTAAAAACAAACAACTCCCTCGCTTTTCACGTGATCGGCTCTGCGACTATGGTTATTGGCTGTCACATGTTACAACTCAGGGCCAAGTTATGGTGGTCCCTTGCCGAGGGGTCTTGCAGGCAGAAACCTTAATGATTTCCAAATATGTATTTTATAACTTCAGGTACTTTTCAGTGGTAAGCAATAAATGTAGTTACTCCAGAAAATTGGAAAAAATGTATTGATCACGTGATAACCGATTTTGAAGAAAAATTTTGGCAATTAGATGGTATAATTGAATCAGCAATAGAACCATTTATTATAAATTTAAATGATTCCGACGATAGTTCAGTATCAAATACCAGTTGTGAGAGCAACATAGAATAAAGAAATAATAATTACACGGAACTTCTCTTGTACTTTCATTCATCCTGTTATTTAGGTATATTTATATAACAAGTAACTCCATACCATAGTCAAAGAATTTTAATTTAAAAAAAAAAGCTTATCCTACGATGCGATATGGGGATCTGGAATCCGTAAGTCGGCCCTGCCCTGTTCACGTGCTCGTGTTTATACTTGGTGACTCGTCTCGTTGAATGGAGTTGATTAGAGACCGACGAAACCAGAATTCCCTTATTTTTTCGAAACAATTGACGCTTTCACCCAATCTTTCTCTGTTGCTGTAACAAATCACATAAATACCATATTCCGGTCGTTTAAACATCGGTGTGAGAGATCAACATGGGTCACTCTACACTAAAAAATTACACAAGTTCAGGAAGGTTAACGAACAACATTAACACACGTTGCCTTAACATTTTCGCGACGGGCGGTAGCCGGACAAAACGTTTAGCTGAATACGGCATATAATTTCCAAAAGTCTGTAGCTGAGTACGGCACGGTTCTCCCGCCAATTTTGAAATCACGTAGGACCACGTTGCCCGTATTCAGCTAAAAAATTTGAAATGACCTAGGACTACGTTTCCCGTCGCGAACGTGTTAAAATAACCGAACCCTAAAACACGCCTCGCCAAAGAACAATCTCACACACCAAACACTTACATCCCAAAGCCGTCAGAAGCAAGTCGAAGCCACGAAGCACCATATCTCACAAAGACGATTCAGAAAATCCCGTACAATCCTACCAGCCGCCAATCAAAAGAGCGCAAACCAGC